AAAATGTTGTCTATTTGCGCACGTCTATATTCTGTTGATTTCTTCATGGAACGTGCTGCGCGTCAATACAAAGGTCTCATACCGCACGACAGGACAGGGGATGCTTTATCTTCCAAGGCACCTTATCCTACCCCTGGTGTTTTCAAGGATCCGTGTTTCTTTACCTGTTCACGCTTTGCATTCTTTCCTGGATTTATGCGACTGACCACTGTTTGTTATCTTAACCTTTTACATACAGGATGTTTCAAAATATAAGTTACGTTTTGAATCTACAAATTGACAAACACAAGAAAAAGATACAGACAAATGTTTTCATCAAATCAATCTTTGTATCCATTAGATTCATTTTTACAATTACCAACCATAAAATTAAACACAGGACAAAATCTCAACCATTAATGATAATTTTTGAGATCCGAAATTCCGACATTTTTTTTTACGTTGAATTTCAGGACGTCAAAAGCTCACATTTTCTACAGGAACTCCGCCTAATTCAACTACAAGAGAAAGTTTCGTCTTGAAAATTTCAAGATCGTTGTACATATCTTTCCTGAGACACTCCAAATTTTAAGTTTTGTTTCTTTTTGAGCTTATTCACTTTTTGTGATTTAGGATTGTAGACCCTATTATTAAGGACCCCCCCCCCCCACACACACACACAAAGGCCCAAAGATATAAATCTGAGGGATACAGGGGTCAAACTCTTTACTGTGTTGCATTATTGATAATTTATACGTTGATAACTTATATGTCAGACTTATTTCATATTTCAACGTTCAATATACCCTGTACAGTGGGAATGCTGATATTGCCGTCAATATTACGAGGCATCGTACCAACCTCAGGATAACCTTTTCTTTGGATGCTTGTTTATTTATAATTTGGACAATTTCTGACATAAAGGAATTTTTTTTGTTCCTTAGCCCCATCCCCATACCTCCAGTTATAACAATGAGGACTAACTCCTTAATGGCTATTTTGATTTACATTCATTTTTTTTTCAAGACACAAAAGTAACAAAATTTAAACCAAGACGAAATTATATCGTCTACAGTAGGTTAAACTATTTCAAGTCCATATGCCAATCACGCATTTGAACTTTCAATACTCGTAGGTACCACGGGACCACCAGTTTGCCTTTTTTAAAAAATATATTTTCAACTCCCTTGGTACGTGCTTGCAATGACCATGTCACTCTAAGGTATAGACTTAATGAGTGTTGTTTGTGTTCTACAGTGAAATGGTAACTTTTGAAAAAAAATCGATGTGTAAACTACTCTCTAAAATGAATTGCTAGTTTGTACTTCGTGCGTTGTTCTGACTGACTAAGAGCACGTGTAATATGAAATTGCTCTTATATTACCTAGGACTTTCTTGGACTTATTAAACCTAATTATGAATTAATGTCGTATATAAAACATATGAAATACTATCGTTATATAATGCCATGACCAGTGAAAGCTATAAAAGGGTACTTGCAATTATGTTGACCCATACATCTGTCTTTTCAAGGAAATCACTGACCCATTATCAGTATAGTTAAAGTAAGATAAAGAACCACGCAAGCTAACTCTCGATTCACGCCTAAATTTTACACCCATTTAATACAATATAAATGGCAGTTTGGCCATTAAAACTTGATTGAATGCAAAAAAGAGTTCATTATTAATTGATTAATGATTTTAAAAGCATTGTCAAAAACTTAATTCCTCTTATTTACTACTCTTTTCAAAAGGGGGGTTGAAAATGTTTTCCAATGAAATCAGGCTTTGAAAATTGCTAGATTTTCAAAAAGGCATGGAAATAGAAAAATGACTCTTAAAACTTTCCGTATGTTTAAGGTATGTAAAATTTATCTGGCAGCTTCTAACCACATCTGTAATAAAGCTACATTTAAGGAAATAACCCAATATCTGGGCAGCTGGCAATAAATATTTCGGACATCTGCATGTTAAGGCATTACAATGAATTAAACACAAATTGATGTAAGGTATGTTTGGTATATCAAGTATGGAGAGGGCTTAAGTAAAATAGGAGCTAGATCTGTTGTGTTTATTTAAAATTACAAATTGTGCGACACATTTCACGAGATATTCATTTGGTATTTAGAAGCGAGACAAAATCTTTACGAATTTTTTCTATTGTTCTATATTTCGTCTAATTACTCAGATAAACAAGAGAAATAAAATTTCGCAAGCAAAAAGCCTAGCGTAGGAACGCAGAAATAAAGTTCTCACACCTAAACAAATTACATAAAGGACAAGTTTTAAGATTTACGACCAAAGGAACCCCACTCAATTTCATCTACTTAACCAAACAATTGTATAAGTTACAAAACACCACGAAACGACAGACGTGTGTCGTATATATATTTCCAATAATAATCCTGAATATACATTGATACTTGTATGGGCTGTATGCATACTATGAAACCAAGGGAAATAAAACTGATACAGTGTAAGGAAGTTTTACGATAAAACTTTATTAGTTAAAAAATTCCACATGGATATTACATTAATGATTCTTCCTAGTCTAATCTAATATTGATATGAAGGTTTCGAAGTGTAACAGGAAGCAGAAAGAAACTTAACTTTTTGAGATTAACGTTCATTTTGGCTTCTTTTAGTAAGTCCTTTTTTCTAATTCTTACAGTTTTAAAATAGTCAATTTTATATAGAAATTATTTAAATTTAGGCAATGGGGTATGTTTTTAATGACATCTTATGAGGACCGGTCCCGGTTGCCTAGTGGTAGGGCACTTAAGCTTGCTTCGTCAACAGAAGGTCCGTTGTAATGAAGAATTTTGACCCTGGTTGAAAATTGACCCAAGGTTCATTTTTCAACGTTGAATATTGAACCGGGGATGGCTTTTCAACGATGGAAATTGCCATTAAATTTATACCCGGGGCCAATTTTCAATAGCTTGGTAATTTTTTTTCTCGGCAATTATGATATCAACGCTTTGAATTATGACCCTGTTGAATATTGACCCAAACTACAGCGGTGATTTTATTAACGTTTTTACTCTGCTTCAGAATTTGATTTTCTTAATAATAAGATCGGACTAAAATCAGCAAATCAATAGCATTCCGAACACATTAGATAAGTTATTTATTGTTCAGGACACAGTATATCGTATCTCATGGTCATTTGTGACGAAAGTTATTAAAGATGGACTACTAATATGTCAATTATCTTCCTACTTTCAGATGTCTATCATGATATACAGCTTTTTGTATAATGGTGTTTAGGAAAGTTTTGCAATGGCTTAGCTGTTTTTCGAACTTTGGGTAAAATTTGGAATCTATCACTTTCTGCATCGGTAAAACAGCTCTCTGTACATACGTCAACAGGACGACAAAAATAAACGGATTTAAAGTATTGACCTGTATGTATCTGAAACCTATATTCGAATTATTTGATTATAAAGTGATTCTATTAACAAATAAGTTGATGATACATGATATCAGAATTTTTATTGCAAGTCAAAATTTCACAAATACTATGGTCGATACAATGGCTTATTAAAAATATAGACTGCTGTAAAGGAGATAATTCAGACGTACTTTGCTACATATTCAAGAGATGGTGCAAATGAAATTAATGTGGATTTTCAGACACTTTTAGATAATTTCAAATTACAATTTTCCCCCAAAGTCAGTAACATCAAAGCGTATGATTTTCAACACTTTCTGCAAATATTGCTAATGATAAACTTCAGATAAGGCTCTTGATATCAAAGACAACTGATTTTTCAAGAAAAATTGAACTCGGGAATTTTGCCATCTTGTGATTGATCATTATAAAGTAATTTCGTTAGAAATTATTCTGACTCTACACACAAGTGCTCTGAGGTTGATATTAAAAAGATGTTGGAGTTTCTCTTTGACAATATCTATTTAGTCTTAGGAATCCGTGTTTTATCAATTTACAGTAATTACTTTAATTCATTTGTCAATTCGATATATCAGAGTGAACTCGAAATAAAAGACATCAGAGAGTCTGACATATCTGTCTCATATTAAGCATCAACTGTTGTTCGGTCACATCCGCCTTGTGCTCCTTGTCATGATCGATGAAACTGAGAAATCCGTGGTCAGTTCAGTATGAAAGTTACAATCTGTGCGACAGATGTCAATCAACATTCGACCTAACAACAGATTATATCTGTAAACAAGGTCATTGAATCGAGAATAGAATTTGCAAAATTTTGACTTTAAATGAGATTATCAATACCCTTGTATCATTAATTTACTTGCCAGTAGTCCGTCTCGTCTTTCGAAATTGTTCGTACAAAAAAACATGGTCTTTCGTCTCTACTAGTATTGCCTGTGGCGATAATAAACAAAACGTTTGCTATAATTATATTAAATGAAACTAGTAAACAGTGATTGCATATCAAAGGGTTGTTCGCAAAATTAAAAAGGAAATAAAGTAACATATCTTTAGAAATTTCAAGAGCTTCCTTTTTAGAATGAGTTGATGCTTGTATGGTACAAATTGTCCACTTCAAATTGAAATATTTCAATGTACTTGTTAATCTAAAGAAAAGAAAAAAAATTCAGCAAACAGCTCCATAGGAAGAAAATTCAGGGGTATCTTTAGGGGAAGGGAGAAACTTTTGTAGGCATTCAACAAGAAAAACAAAATAGAAAAAAATGATTAAGGTGTAAGTTTATCCAACCTATTTGAAAAGGAAATACATATGCCTTGTTGACTTACATTGTTCAATACCTGTAATTTTACATTCAATTTCAGCTTTTATTGCAATGAGTCTGGGAAATCGCACAGCTGCAGTTTTGAGTATTTTGATGATAATTGAAGGATATATGGACTGTTGTACATCTCAGCCAAAGTGTAGATGTTTCAGCAACTATTCCTTGAACAATATTTTCGCTGACTGTTCCAATCTAGGCCTAATATTGTCTCCATATTTCTGGTCAAATGTAACAGAAATTGATCTCAGCAAAAATGCATTAACCGAGCTCCCAAACAGGACGATGCTTCCAGATGATGTAACTTATTTGGATCTTTCCTATAACTCTATCTCGACATTTAAAAACAACTCATTCAAAAGATTGTCGAAGCTTTCAGTTTTGAAATTGAATTCGAATTCGTTTCGAATGACTGAAAATCTAGATATAAGTCTCTTCGCAGATTTGATTAACATTAAAAACATAGATTTATCCGACAACAATGAACTCACTTTTCAAATCATGCCAATATTGGCATATGGACTTCAAAATTCCACTATTGCATCCCTTCGGGTGAATAAAATTCATTGCACATTTGGATTAGGTACAAAAATCAGAATAAAGGATGTTCGATATCTTAAACATACCAATCTTAGAGAACTGCATTTGTCAAGCAACAGAATTGAATTGGTGGAGAATGGAGTCTTCGATTTTTTTCCAGAAACACTTAAGAGAATATCATTTGCTGACAACAGGCTGACATTTGGGGTATTTGCCTTAGAACTTAGATCATTAAAAGGCCTGGAATGGCTAAACGGAAGTGCACAGTATTTAACCCATGATCCAGCTGAATTTATTCAACACTTAATATCTCCATGTGAAGATGAAAAAGAATATCTACCAAGCACGCACATTGATAAGCATAAGAATAGAAATTTAAAAGAACTACAGAAATCTTTTCCAAATAATGTGATTACAGGTATTCCAATGCCACAAAATATAAAAACGGTGTTTTTCAATGAAAGTGGAATTCGGTATAAAATACCAGAAATATCTTTTTCCGAAAACAGTTTGGAGGAGATATATTTACAAAACAACATTCTATCTACATGGGATGGTCCTATAAAAGGACTAGAAAGTCTTCGAATACTGAATTTGTCAAACAATTTTTGCTCAACAGTCAAAAAAACCTTTTTTCAGTTCCTTGGTAATCTTTCAGAATTATATCTCAGGAACAACTTATTGGGTTTTAGTTTGTCACCGGACGCAGAAGGACAAATCTTTGCAAATTTGAAACGCTTGATTCGATTGGATCTTAAAACAAATAGAATTTCAAATTTACCAATTCAAGTTTTTAAAAATCTTGAGAACCTAAAAGATTTGGACCTGGCGGACAATGCACTTGGCGAAGTACGCTTTACCATTGCTAATTTAAAGCAAATGCAGTTTCTTGATTTATCAGGAAATCAAATCCAGTTTCTTTCAGACACAAATATAAACGAATTTGACCGACATTCAGATAAAGTAAAATTATCGTTAAATCTTTTAAATAACCCGATTATATGTAATTGTAAAACATTGACATTTCTAAGGTGGATGGTAAAAAATCATGAAACTGAAAAGATCAATTTTAAGTCATTTAAAAACTATTCCTGCACAACGTCTTCCCACAGTAGCCCCTTAAAATTTTCAAAAATTAAAGAACACATAAAAAAACTTGAAATAGAATGCAGTCATTATACTCATTTGATTATCACTGTGACGATTTTTATTTTCATTTTCTTATGTATTCTCTTTAGTGGGTTGTTGTATCGATATAGATGGAAACTTCGTTATTTTTACTATATGACTAAAAGCCGATATCATGGATATAAATCTGTTAAAAGTGAAAGCCAATCAGATTTCAAATATGACGCTTTTGTTTCCTATGCAGAAGAAGATATGCCGTTTGTACAGAAAATGGTTTCGGAATTAGAAACAAATAATGGGATACGCTTGTGTATTCATAGTCGAGATTTTGTTCCAGGATATGATATTTCCGAAAATATAATCACTGCCATCAACAAAAGTAGGAAAACAGTCGTTATATTGTCTCCAAACTTCATCAAGTCCAGCTGGTGTATGTATGAACTTCATATCGCAAAGATGGAAGAAATATATTCGAGGGAAAATGAATGCGTTCTCCTTTTGATATTTTATGACGCAGTTCCCGTGGATAAAATACCTTTAAGTATTATGGATCTTATCAAGCAAAAGTCGTACATTGAATTTCCTAACGATGATTATGGGGATCCGGTATTCTGGAGGAAAGTTTCTGAAAGCCTTAATGATGAAATATTTTAACATATTGTAAATATTGTAATGAATTTAAGTTAAGAGGGTATTGGTCTTCAGCAGGTGTGTTGTTTATTTTTGAATGTAAATATTCTTCGTAAAATTTGTCAGATTGTATAAATTCTTATTCTTTACGAATAAAAATATATTTTCCCCAACGCAAACATGGCAATCAAGGTTTCATTGAGATATTCCTTGAAGTGCGATATTGCTACAAGTATTATGTAAACAAATCGAACTTAAATTTAGTGAAGAGTTTTATGAAAGACTTTTTGTTTAACTTGAAGTTTCGTATTTACTGTAAAGGCTATTGCTGGTTATTTTCTTTTGTAATTAGCCTGTTCTGTGAAGGCTCTAAAGTACTAGTTCATATACGTACGCAGACTGAAATGTATTAATGAATATATTATGTGTTAAGTAAAACTCTATTCTAATACTTACACCGAAAGAAATATAAGAATATGAATTCGACTTCCTTTGAATTTGAATACATGTGAGTGTTTTTCTAACATGTAAATACACTATGGGACTTGGATAGCAAATATTTTGGAATGCAGAGGAGGGAATGTATCCCGGTATATTAAAAATGAATATGTATTTCAGTCCACAAAAGTAAAATAACATCAGATGCAGACACATTTAACGTTTAAAATTGCATGAGTTATCTCCTCCAGTATAGAGTATACCTGAAGTTGATTGTTTTTTGCACGTAGAGCGATGTTACAGAAGATTCAGAAAGATGTTACGGAAAATATATATATATATATATATATATATATAATTATAAATTGCAGTAAAAGATAACAAGAGGATAATGACTGGCAGGTATTATTAGAAAATTTGGAAAACTGATTTTAAGCAAAACTGTATATATTAGCCCTAAAACATGTTTTTTCATTAGAAAAATGTATGCATTTCAACCATGATTAGTACTTTTGTAAATCATGTCCTTTTACAATGTTTCATGTATGATTTTATCATAATTTGTAAAATGTAAGAGCCAATAAAAAAGAAAGAAATTCTTTGCACTCGCTGATTTTTCAAAAGTGTTTGCCTTAATTAAGTAACTATACCATGTTATCCTATAGCTGTTAATTTAATTATGTAATATAATACTATGATATCATAAGTGTAATGATTAGCATATAAATAGATATAAGATAACATTTTTTGACAAGACAAGGTAATGTAAACTTTTTCATTTTCAATGTAATCTAACATTTTCCTATGTGCATAACTTTCGTAAAGAATTTTCTGCTGTGGTCGATCAGCCAAATATACCCATCTTCTTTCTTTTCTAATTCTTTTTTTTTAGTGCAACGAATCAATTTCAAGTATGTTTATAAACCTTATTACCCCCCTCTCCCCTTTTCAAAGTTTTGATTATTGTAAGTTTTAATGTGTCTTTAATGAACATGCTCTTCGTATGGACAATTTCTAAAACGAGGTAAATTATTGACAAACAAGTTGATGAAACAAGAATATCAGCAGTCTCGTTTAAAGTCATCATTTCTTAAGTTTAATGGTCGATACAATGACCTTGTCAGGAAATACAATTTATCATTTAGTCAAATGCTGACTGACGTTTTTCATACTAATTGTTAGGCCATTATTTACACAATGAATTGTCGACGGATTTTTCCGTTATTTCCCGATCATGACAAGGAGCACACGGCGGGTGTGACCGGTCGGCAGGGGATGCTCACTCCTCCATGACACCTGATCCCACCTCTGATGTTTTGGAGGTCCGTGTTTCCTCTGCACCTATTTTGTAATGTTTAATGGACTTTTGAGCTTGAATACTGTTCGTTATCTCCATATATTTCATCTACAGTGAGGCACAAATTTAATGGCGTCCAGTGTTAGATCAATTACATGTATGACCGTCAGAGGATAGACAAGCAACTACTTTTGATAGTATTTGATGAAGTATATTTCGATTCAAAAATGCAATAAAAAATAAGTTCAATTAAGACAGATAATTTGTACTTGTCAGATACTTGTACATGTATTTAGAAATACGTTGGATGTTACTTTATTCGAATATGTAGTTAACAAGCAGTCTGAAAATTCACAAGCATAAACTGAAATGAGAAAATACTTTCAATGTGAACTTGACTATCGTTCAACTGAAGCCTCTCTTTATTTGACTAGTCTATCCGAGTGAAACTGACATCCCAAATACAGGCATAAAGCATATAGTTTATTGTCTAAAATCACAATTAAAATTTTTATGAGACAAAATGAGCATCTTACTATAATGTATTTTTTTCTGTCTGAATATTTTACCAAAATGAAGAAATAAATGCAAAAGTCTTTACATTTCGGTAAATGCTAGTAAATTATTGACCACTGAAATACAACTGAAGTTATATTGACCGGGATATCTAATATATGACTAGCCACTGTGTATCTCATTGAATCTAGTCATATTTAATCATTATTGCTTGGATTTATATTCAAGCCAATAAATATTAGTATTTTTTATATGCGATATTTTGTATCATTTTCTAAAAACAATCAATTGCAATCATATGTTGATGTTTCATTTATTTCTGATGTGTCAATAAGAATCGACACTGTTAACAGTTAGCAAAATTTATAATTTTGATTAAAAGTTAAAAGTATAAAAATGGGTTAAAATTATAAAAATGTACTTTGCTAAGACATCTATTACAGAATCAAATTTGATTAATCGCAATATGCTACCAAACTGTGGATTAATATTTTATAATTGTTCATAAATATGTGCCGAAAGTAACTTTATTTGCTTTGCTGCTATGGAGAATTTGCTGTTGCCATGGAGATAAGTATCTTTACAATATTTGTTTGGTTTGCAAAGGTGTCTCAGATATATATTTTCTTACTTTAAACTGTGTTTTTATACTCTCAGATAACAATTTATTAGATTATAATGTTCACATTGTACAATTTTCCATTTTTATTTATCAAAACATCCATTTTTGTTGCTAAGCAACAGATTGGAATTTTCAAAAAACACACCTTTTTGAATTTAAAGTCCAAAAGAGACATTCCTCAGCTTTTATGCGAAATATTTGCAACTCCTGTATTAAACCAGAAGTTTGAGTATTAAGACTTTGAAAAGTACCAAAATCAACAAAAATGCTGAATCAGCAAAAAACACAAAACATGCATATCTACCCATGTCTAGTACAGATATATCTCAAAATCTTATTTCTATGTAATGCATTGTGAAAACACTTTAAATGTTTATCTTTACGATAAGAATAAATAAGAAGAAATTCTTAGATATTCACAATAAATTTCAAGCCCTAAAGATTAGTGATTTTTTTGTCCATACACATGGAAAATTGACTTGTTGCTATGGAAATGTCTTTTGTCATGTTTCCGTAGTAACCATGACCCAAAACTTTTTTCACTTTGCATACATGGATTATAGCACAAGAGAAATCTATGTGTTGAAAATCATCAAATTCTGAGAACCCTCATGATTCACTTTCAAACCTACGTTGCCTGATTCTTACAGAGACTTGCACTTAAGCATTGATTAATTATTTTTTTAAAAAGATATAGTCTTTTAACTGTAATGGTGTGTGCAAACAAATTGAGGTACGACCTTACGCGCGTTATGAAAATTTGTTTGCTCACACCGTTGAAGTTATGAGATTTTAAGTTTTAAAAATAATGATTCAATGCTTACATTTACGTTTTTAACTCCTTGCCTTGACTGCGAATGTGATTAATAATTCACAATTCCTGTATTATCCTTTGAGTAAGTTACAATTTATGGAAGAGCCGTTGCAACAGCTTCTGTTCAATGCGAGCGTGAATTTTGATCTTCGCTTATGACGTTGCACTTCCACTTCGTTCAACGTTTGTGAAATTAAAATAAAAACACACTTTAATTTTTTGACTCCCTGTCCGTGTTATGGTGTTTTGAATGCCATAGCTTTCCTCACACTTTATAATCAAAATACATGTTGAATATAAGTAACATTCTATCATAAAGAGGTTCGTTCCTGAGCTTTTGAGCAGATTTTTGTACTGATGTCTATTTAAAAAAAAATCTGCGTAATGTTTAAAGTCTTACAATAAACTTGGATTCTACAATGCATATTAAACTATAATCATTGATATTGAAAGGGCATAATTAAGTTAAATTCGGAAGTTTAATTGATAAACATATCTTCAGCACCTTTTTTTACTGTATGTTATAAGGTTTCAAACCTTGAGAGATTCCACTATCTATATTACAAGGGCGTAATTAAAGTAAATTCGGAAGTTTAATTGATGAATATATCTTCAACACCTTTTGTATTGTATGTTATAAGGCTTCAAACCTAGACAGATTTCACTATTTAATTCCTAAAAACATCTTTATAAAACCGCTTGCTGATAATTTTTTTTCTGATCGACTGAAATTATTTCAGAAATAAAAATATAATCATTTACAAGATTTTATACTATTCTATTGGCAGCGCTTTTATCAATATGGCTTTTAGGTTTTTCGGTTTATGTTTAAGAGCTTATCACAATAAAATTAATTGATTGTATGCCCGTGAACCATATTGATTTATGATAATATGATAGCTTTACAAGAATGAATTTAGCTGAAAATGTTATCTACATGTATTTGTGCACGTCTATATTCTGTTGATTTCCTCATGGTACAGGCTGTGCGTCAGTACAATGGTCTCATCCCGCTGGGGATGCTTAATCTTCCAAGGCTCATTATCCTACCCCTGGTGTTATCAAGGATCCGTGATTTTTTTTTACCTGTTCACGCTTTGCATTCTTTCCTGGATTTATGAACTGATCACTGTTTAATATCATAACCTTTTACATACAGGATGTTTCATAATATGTGTTACGTTTTGAATCTACAAATTGACAAACGCAAGAAAATTTAGATACAGACAAGTGTTTTCACCAATTCAATGCAAGTATCCATTAGATTCATTATGGACATAAATCAGCCATATTATTAAACACTGGACAAAATCTCAAACATTAACAAAAATTAGTGATATCCAAAACTGCGTCATTTTGTTACGATGAATTCCCCAAGGTCAAAAGCTCACATTTTCTAAAGAAACCCCGCCTACTTGAACTACAAGAGAAATTTGTTTCTTGAAATTTTCATATCTTTGCTGATTCACTCCTTATTTAATTTGTTTCTTTTTAGCTTATTCCGTATATGTAATTTAGGATAGTAGACTCTATTCTTTAGAAACTCCCCATAAAAAAGCCAAAGAAAAGAGATCTGAGGGACGCAGGGGTCAAACTCTTTAAGGTATTGCATTATTAATAATTTATATGTTGATAACATCATTTCATATTTGAAAGTTCAATATACACTGTGCACTGGAAATGCGATATTACAATCATAAATGTCTGAAAATATCTGGTATTTTTTCTGAGGAAATTGCTAAACTATTAAGAGTGTCAACTTCAACTTAAAAATCTTATGTTCTTGAAATCCTTAGTCTTCTTGGAATATCCTGTCATTTATTGCATTTTTTTGCATATTACACGTCCCTGTCCTTTAAAACTTTATACTAACCTTCTTGATAAACATCCCTACAAAGCTTTTTCTCTCGAAATATTTTCTTTCATCAACATCTGAATGAATTTTTCAATTTGTGTTGATGAAAGAGCGTTACCATGCAACAAGATGTTCTTGAGTAATATCTACGTAATTCCATAAAATAATGAAATAATGACAAAGGCGTTTATATCACAATTCAACATCGTAATATCACGATTTCCTTGATTGTCTTAAATGGAACAAAATTCCGGATTTGATTCTTAATATGATATATTATGGTTTGTAGTAAAACATAATAGGTAAGAAAAATAATTCAATTTAAAATGTAACATATGTTATGAAACACCCTGTACCAATTCAAGTAGGGATATCAATTTCATTCGGTTCACCTAGTCGAGTCAAGTGTTACTCGTTAAAATAATTTCTTCAAATCAGGATGGATAACCAGAGAGCTACAATGCCACCCATTGAAAAAAGTGTATATCTTTTGCGCACAAAAATGTACCCTGTTTCATTCTCGATTTATTTCTCTGTATATTTAAGTTGCCATTTCAAAATATTATAAATCATATGTTCTTAAAATATTCTTTTACTACTTCCTATGTTATATTCAAAAATATGTATTGAAATAATTTTACCACGTATTCTCTCAAAGTAAATTTCTTTCTTATCCGGATCATCTTTTTAAGTGGAAGAAAAAAAAACCTTTCTAGCAAGGGTTACTTTTATTTACTTAATCGGGATTTTGTATTGGAGCGTGTGTAATTTTTTCAGCATCAAATTTCTCTTAATTTCAATATATTTTTCAAAAGAAATATTTCAATTTTGGTGTTATCAATTTAAAGACTAACGTAATTAGTTTAACATATTGCATTTCCTGGAGAAAAAAAAAATGTACCTGTAGATGACATCAGATGTCATTTTCTTGTATTTTAATATCGCGCTGTTATTTGCTCGAATAGGTTATCTTTGATAGACACATTCGACCCGCGGTATTAAAAAGGATTTCTTTATTTGTGACCTTAAGTTGGTTTTCATTCAAAACAGGAAATATATCATGTTCGATGTTACTTTAATTTGCTTGATTTTGTAAAGGAAAAAATAAAAGATTTAAATACATTTAGTTACATACTCAAACTACCAGTTAAAAAAACTTTTGAATTTATACAATTATGAAATAATAATTTGAAAAGATAAAAATTAAGCCAACATATTTTTGTTTGCATGACACAAACTAATTTTCTTAATAAGTCAAGCATGCACATTAAGTCACACCAAGGAAGTTTTAAATCGATGCTTTCTTTTCAAAGTGTTTGGTTTCAATGCCCGATCGTTAAATATCATTGCACATTGTTTAAAACAGAAAATTAGTGCATAGTGGATAAAGCAGTAAATAGGATGAAAATGTGTTTTCTTTTTGGTACGTAAAAACTTTCAGATCACATAATACTTAATTGCTAAGGTTATAAAGATAATTATGCTAACGTTTGAAAAGTTATCAAACCATAACAATAATAATCAATGAACATTACATTTGGTATCAAAATAATTTACTATTATATAAAAAAAGACTAATGAACAAAGGACAACTCCAGTTTTAACAATTATATAAAATTGTTTGGATCGCTTCTATGATTTAAAAACTTAGAAATTCGTAACGCTTTAAAAAGGCATTGAACTTTATAAAGATTTACAATACTGCTGGCTGGATTTGTAACTTTATTTTATGTGGCATTAATTCCTGACTAAATTACGACGACTAAATTATATGACAAACGAGATGACTTCAGCTTTTCCATTGTCAAATTTCCTTATTTATGTAGTAATAACCCACTATCACTTGCATATATCCCCAAACTCAATCGATCCTCACGAGCATGCTCCTAGTATAATTAATTTTTAAACCGATTCAGGCTACTGACAGAGAAGTTGATGTTACAGGGATTTCAACAACCTCGTTTAATGTCAGCATTTTGTAAATTCTATGGCTGTTATGATGACCTTGTTAGCAAATATAACTTGTAATTGGGTCGTATTGTGACTGACTTGTTATATATCAATTGTTAGACTTTTGTTTTATATTGAGTTTGACTACGGAATGTTTCGTCTACCTTTTTTTGGTGAAACAGCATAATAAATATCACACGTTAAGCTTTTATGATGTCTAAGGATGTTCAGCAAAACTGTCATTCCGATAAATGTAATATGTACTGACAGAAAAATGCGAGTCACTTACGAAAAATTTACATTGTAAACAATTGTTGGCTGGGAAAGGGATGAATTAAAAAAAAGGAAATTACTAAGTTTCTTTAGAACAGATAATATGATGAAAGATTGTATTACTTCGTATTCATACGATAAGGAAATAGTTTTGCAAGGCAAACATTGTTTGTTAAAACCTTTTGAATAGAACGAAACTAGGTTTATGAAGCATTTTTTTCAAGTAAAAAAAATTCAATCAGCTAATCTTTGATTGTCATAATCTTTTATCCTTATTATCATTTTTAAACAGATGTGGATTTCAGGAATCTAGCTATGGATATAATAATCATGCTGATGCTACTTAGAGGCGGTGTGGATGGTGGTAAATGTGCCCCTGCATCATCATGTCGATGTCATTATTCTCAAAGAGATATTTACGCCGACTGTTCTAATCTGGGTCTTATAAGGTCACCTTCATTCTGGTCAAATGTGACGGGAATCAATTTATGTTACAATTATTTGACTAAACTTCCGAACAGATCAAACATTCCAGATAACTTAACTTACTTGGATCTTTCTCATAATGTCATAAATGAATTCAACAACGACGCTTTTCAAGGACTGCAAAAGCTTACAGATCTTAAATTGCACTCTAATGAACTTAGGATTACAAGTAACCTATCAAAAACATTTTTGCGGATTTAATCAACATTAGAAACCTAGATTTATCCAACAACAAAGAACTAACTTTTCGGGTCATGCCTTTCTTGACCAGCCTACAAAACTCCACTATTGAAGTTCTTCGTTTGAATAAAATCCACTGTACATTTGGATTAGGCGTAGAACTAAAGAAAGATGATTTGAGATTTTTTCAATACACCAACCTAAGAGAGATCCATATTTCAAGCAATAGAATAGAGCTTTTTGAAAATACTGCACTTTCTTTATTACCTGATAGTCTGAAAAGAGTATCAGTCGCTGATAACAACCTCTCATTTGGATATTACGTGTTTGACATGTTTTCCATGAAAGGATTAGAATGGTTGGATGCAAGCTTGCAAGGTATGACCCACAGCCGTTATGAATCTATCTATCAAAGACCATATAGTGATACTTTGGTGAAAGAAGCAAAGTCTCTTTCTATGTCAAAGGAATTTTTATTCAACACTTCTGATTCTGGAAATAAATCAATGTTTAGTAAAAATATAATGCAAATAATAAAGGTGAAAAATGTTGACACCTTTGAGTGGAAAACTTTGTCAAATAATGGAACAAAAATACCTATACCAGAGAATCTAAAAACAATATTTTTCAATCGAAGCGGACTAAATTATGAAATACAAAGCATTAGATTCATGAGGAATAAAGTGGAGAACTTATATTTACAAGACAACAATATTTTATATTCCTGGATAGGTCCAATCAGTGGAATCATCAATTTAAAAATAGTTAATCCGAAAGTTTCTTTCAGAACGCTGTTTCCCTACAGAAATTATACCTGAGTAACAACTTGTTAGTTTTCAGTCTATTGCCTGATTCAGATGGAAAAATATTCAGAAATCTAAAAAGTTTGCGTGTTGTAGATTTAAAGGCAAATAAAATTTCCTACTTACCTAATGATGTGTTCAAAAATCTTGAAAACCTTGAGTATTTAGACCTTAGTAGCAATTTACTAACTGGAATTGATTTTGATATTAGATATTTAAAGTCCCCACAGTATCTTGATCTATCCATGAATCAAATTCAGTATCTCTCTGATAAAGATACGAAAGCGGTAGATCAACATGGAATAGGGAAAACTATAAGAATAAACCTTTCTGGAAATCCTATTTTGTGCACATGCAAGAGTCTGAAATTTCTAACATGGACTATTCATGGACAAACATCAGGGAAAATAATATTTATGTCATATGATCAATACTTTTGCAAGAAATCTCATGGAGGACAAATAATGAATTTCACTAATATCAATAAAGAAATTGAAAGGTTGAAGATGAAATGTAATACCTATACAGCTGTAATAATTATTATGTCCACGCTTATTTTACTTTTCGTTTTGGCTTTTACGATTGGACTTCTATATAGATATAGATGGAAACTACGGTACTTTTTTTTACATGACTAAAAGTCGTTATCATGGCTTCAAATCTTTGAGGGATGAAAATCAATCAGATTTCAGTTACGATGCTTTTGTTTCCTATGCTGATGAGGATTTGCCGTTTGTTCAGAAAACGATTTCAGAATTAGAAGGGAATAATGAAATACGTCTATGTATTCATCATCGAGATTTCGCGCCTGGGTATGACATTGCTGAGAACATAATAACTGCTGTCAACAAAAGCAGAAAAACAATAATAATTTTATCGCCAAACTTCATCAGGTCAAGCTGGTGTATGTATGAAATGCATATCGGTAAAATGGAAGACATATATTCTCGCGATGACCAAAGTGTTCTGATGATTATTTATTATCAATCGATTTCTATCGGCAAAATACCAATACAAATTATGGATGTAATAAAACAGAAATCGTACATTGAGTTCCCAGATGACAAATACGGTGACATAATATTTTGGAAGAAAGTTCGAGAAACTGTTAAGAATGTTTATAACTTGTAGTTTGTAGAAAAGTATTTCAAAGCATTTTTGCAGTGCAGGGATCGTATATGCATGTATTTTGTTAGAACATCGATACTGATTTTTAAAAAAAAATCCTTTGGTAAAATAAGTGAATGAGAATGCCATTCATTCTCTGGGAAGCACTGCTAGAGGCAGTATTCAATTACTTAATTTCAGCATCACAGTTTCGGATCTCTGAAATGCTTTATATAATAATTTATTCGAATGTAATTAATCGAAAAGATTTCTGAGTTTGTTTTTTTTATTTGCTGATAAAAAAATCTCTACAGTTTTCTAAAGCTAGTAGATAAATGCCGATTTTTAGCCGCTCAGTGGTAGCTATGGTAATCGTGATTTTGCTTGCTTATAATGCTGATGCTGACTATCTAATGCTGATGCTAAATCTTTGAAAGTTTGCGTATTTTATATCTATAAGTGAACAACATTTTCTATTCACCAGATGTTGCGTTTAAGGCCAGCAAAACCTTGAATATTTGAATCTGAAAAAGCAATTAGCTTACTGGAGTTGATTTTGATATTGCATATTTGGGGGCCTTAAATTAACGTCTTTTATTCATGAATCAAATTCAGTATTCTTCTCATACAGTATGAAAGCTTTAGATCAATTTACAAATGAAAAACTATAAAAATAAACCTTTTTAGAGATCCAATTTTGTGAGGATGAAAAAATATGAAATATTTTACATGAGTAAGACAAACTTTGAGGAAATTAATATTCAAATTTAACGAGAAACACTTTTGCAAGAAGAATTATCGGATGGACAAGTTTTTGATTTCACTAGCACAGATAAAGAAATTGAGTATCTAGATAAGAATTGTAATACCTATTCTACTCTAATTTTTATATTGTGTACTATAATTATCTTTTTCATAATATTCTCTCGATATGCATTTATAAATTTTAAACTATAGATGGAAACTTCGCCATTTTTTATTTAACTAAAAGTCGCGATAATGGTCATAAGTCTCCTAGAAGTGATAGCCAAATGTTGAATCAGATTTTAATTACTATATCCATTTGTTACGAATGCATATGCTAATGAGGACCTGTCCTTTGTTCGAAAAATGATTAAATTAGAGGGGAATAATGAAACACGTTTATGTACCCATCGTGAACATTTTGTTCCGAGATCTTGCATTGATAGGATCATATATAATTACCGCTGTGTACAAAAGAAGGTAAACAGTAATATATCTATCTCCGAATTTTATCAAGTCCAGCTGGTGTAAGAAAAAAATGAACATTGCTAAAATGGGAGAGATAAGCTTCCACTATGATAAAGGTGTTCTATTATAAATCAACTTTAATCAACAAAATTCCACAAGAAATTATGGATGTTTTAATGCAGAATTCATTGGAGTTTCCAAACGACGAATTCGAATACGGTGACACAGTATTTTGGAGGATAGATTGGTAGACCCTTAGAATGACTAAATTCTGCAAAGAAAACTTCCGAAATAGTTTCAAGTGCGGTAAAACTCGGTTATAGCGAAGTCCAGGGGACATGTGAATTTAATTCGCTATATCCGTAATTCGTTATATCCGTATAATGAATTCGTATAACTATATATAGAATTCGCAATATACACTTTTTCCTTCAAGTATTACTACCGAACATGTTAGGGAAGCAATAATTACAAAACATACCTTGGATAACTAAGGTTTTATTATGAATTGAAGTTTATATACAAATACTTACCGAAAATATAGTCAGTTCAGTATATCAAATTTTAAGATCTTTGGAAATTCGTTATAAATGATGTAAATTTCATTATTTTTAACCTGTATAGTACTAAAAATCAGTTCGCTGTATCCGTAAATTAGTTACATCAGAATTCGTTATAACCGTGAAATTTACAAAGAATTGTTAAGAATTTTGCCGGGGACCCCGAAAAACTTCGCTATATCCGTGAATTCGCTATATCCGTGTTCGTATTAAACAAGTTTTACTGTAGAATCTTCTCGGGGCATTTTACTAATTTTAATTCCTTTGAATACAATTGGTCACAATTGTGGAGAACATTCTGATGAGATTATAATTATATATACAGGATGAACACATTGTACATGTTTCCAGATAATATATTGGAATTAACATTAATTTGTAACTTTAATCTGCCAGAGAAAAACTAGTTTGTGTCATTCTGAAAATAATTACTTATATCAAATACCTTTATAAAATGTTGCAAAACAACTGAAAGGAAATCACTTTGCTGTAAACATGCGCACATTATCTTAGCATTTTCGCCGGAACGAGGTGATCATGAAGAAATGAAGTTACTGACTTTTGGAATCATCACAAATTAAGCTTAGAAAACTGTGACAATATTCATAAATGGTGGGATATGACAAAAAATAAAATTAAATCAGTCTGTATAGAAATATCCAAAAACTTTCATACTAGTAAAATAAAATATAAAAAAATTAGAAAAAGAAATTGAGAATATTAAAAATAATCCAAATACAGATAAAGCTTATCTGAATACAATTGAACAAAAGCTAAAAGATATCTTGAAAGAAAAAACTGAAGCTGCTATTCTGAGATCTAAATGTAAGTGGTTCTCTGAGGGTGAAGTACCATCTTCATATTTCTTTCAATTAGAGAAAAAGAATGGTGAAAAAAAACTATGGTCTAGAATCAAATGTGAGGATGGGATATACAAGACAGATATCGATTCTATTATAGAGGAACAAATAAAATTTTACAAAAAACTATTAAACACAGAAGGGTGCGACCCAGAGTGTGGAGCTAAACTGTTGAAAGAGGTTCGATGTAAACTTAACACAGAAGAAAAAGAGATTTTAGACCGTGATATCACTGAAGAAGAAATCTATAAAGCTATTATGTTATTAAAAATTAATAAATCACCAGGGGAAGACGGTATTACTTCAAATTTCTACCAAATTTATTGGGATGTCATTAAAGACGAATTTATTAAAGTAATTAAATATATTTTCAATAACAGTTTATTGTGCGAGTCACAAACAAAGGGTATGTTATCCCTAATACATAAAGGGGGAGAACGCGAAGTTATAACGAATTGGAGACCTCTGACAATGTTAAATACAGACTACAAAATAATAGCAAAAATACTTGCTGAGAGATTAAAAACAGTCTTACCAAAACTAATACACCCTGATCAAAAAGGTTTTGTAAGGGGAAGGGATATAAGTGATGCCAACAGATTAATTCAAGATATTATTGATTTTGCAGATAATGAAGATTTAGAAGGCGCAATAATATTTCTTGATCAACAAAAAGCATTTGATAGATTAGAATGGGAATGGCTAGATTCTACCTTGAAAAAATTTAATTTTGGAAATAAATACTGTAACTGGATAAAAATGTTGTTAAGAAATGCCAAAACTTGCATTAAAACAAATGGGTTCCTATCCAAATATTTTACAATATCAAGGTCAGCAAGACAAGGTTGTCCTATAGCTCCCTTGTTATATGTATTACAAATAGAGCCGTTGGCTTGTGCCATACGCCAAAATTCAAACATTAAAGGTATACGTATTCCGAACAATATCCAGCATATTGAATGCAAAATCAATATGTTTGCGGATGATACACAACTTTTGAATAAGGATGAAGAATCTATAGAAGAATCCTTTAAAGTTTTAGAAATATATGAAAAGGCATCAGGAGCAAAAATAAATTTTGCTAAAACAAAGGGTTTATACATTGGGAGATCAAAGGGTAAAAAACCTAAATTTAATAAAATACAGTGGACATCAACAAATGTTAAAACTTTAGGTGTGAACCATGGATATGATATTGACATAAAAGCTATTTGGATGGAAAAAATAGAAAAAATTACCAATTGTCTTCATGTTTGGAAAACTAGAAATTTAACATTTAAAGGAAAAACATTAATAATAAAAAACCTAGTAATTCCTATTATTGGATATGAAATTGAAATGAGAGGCATACCAAATATTTATAGTAAAAAGATAAATGACATTATCTGGTCTTATATATGGGATCAGAAAGTAAACAAAGTAGATAGGAATGTTTGCTGCCTCAGTAAAGCTGAGGGAGGATTGGACATGGTTAACTTATTTACATTTATTAAAAGTAAGCTAATTAAAACAATATACAAAATTATGCACTCTGAACTTGAAAACTGGAATGCTATTGGTAAACTCTGGTTACAAAGTAAAGACTTACATCCAAAACAGGAATATTTTTTATGCACCTGTTCTGACCTCTCCAACATTTCTCTAAATAAACTTTCTACATTTTATAAAAATGCATTATTCGCATACAGTGAATTCAGATCGAATTTTCAACCAGAAAGCAAAGATG